CCCCCACTTTACTCCCTGTGTGCCCCCCCCTTGCCCCCCAGCCTACTGCTGCAACGCGCTGGATGGGCGCTGGTACAGCTACGACGACAGCCGGGTGGAGGGGGTGCAGGAGGCGGAGGTGGGCACCCGCAGCGCCTACATCCTCTTCTACCAGCGGCGCCACGGGGCCGCCGGCACCTCCGGCAGGGGTGAGCACCCACGGGCACCCACGGGCACACGGAACACGGGACATGCGTGTGCTGTGGAGCCCAAGGCACGTGGCAGGGGTGTGTGTGTGCACTGGTGTGGGGTGCATGGGGCGGTGTGCGCATGCGTGGAGCGCTAAGGTGCGTGTGTGCGGGGTGGGGGGTGCACACAGCACGGCTGGGCACACGCGTGTGCACGTGGACAAGCGTGCATGGACAGTATGGCAGCCCCCACTTTACTCCCTGTGTGCCCCCCCCTTGCCCCCCAGCCTACTGCTGCAACGCGCTGGATGGGCGCTGGTACAGCTACGACGACAGCCGGGTGGAGGGGGTGCAGGAGGCGGAGGTGGGCACCCGCAGCGCCTACATCCTCTTCTACCAGCGGCGCCACGGGGCCGCCGGCACCTCCGGCAGGGGTGAGCACCCACGGGCACCCACGGGCACACGGAACACGGGACATGCGTGTGCTGTGGAGCCCAAGGCACGTGGCAGGGGTGTGTGTGCACTGGTGTGGGGTGCACGGGGCGGTGTGTGCACGCGTGGAGCGCTAAGGTGCGTGTGTGCAGGGTGGGGGGTGCACACAGCACGGCTGCGCACACGCGTGTGCACGTGGACAAGCGTGCATGGACAGTATGGCAGGCACATACACAGAGCAAAGCTGCGTGCACACACGGACACGCATGCACACGCGTGCATGGAGAGTGTGGCAGGCACGTACACGTACACATGGCAGAACTGCATGCACACAGGGACACGTGTGTGCACACGTGTGTGGACAGTGTGGCAGGCATGTACACAGAGAGCAGAGCTGCATGTACACATGGACACGCACAACACGGGACATGCGTGTGCTGTGGAGCCCAAGGCACGTGGCAGGGGTGTGTGTGTGCACTGGTGTGGGGTGCATGGGGCGGTGTGCGCATGCGTGGAGCGCTAAGGTGCGTGTGTGCGGGGTGGGGGGTGCACACAGCACGGCTGGGCACACGCGTGTGCACGTGGACAAGCGTGCATGGACAGTATGGCAGGCACATACACAGAGCAGAGCTGCGTGCACACACGGACACGCATGCACACGCGTGCATGGAGAGTGTGGCAGGCACGTACACGTACACATGGCAGAACTGCATGCACACAGGGACACGTGTGTGCACACGTGTGTGGACAGTGTGGCAGGCACGTACACAGAGAGCAGAGCTGCACGCACACACGGACACGCACACGCGTGCATGGGCAGTGTGACAGGCACATACATGGGGCAGAGCTACATGCAGGCATGGACACACATGTACACACATGCACACGTGTGCATGGACAGTGTGGCAGGCACTTACACATGGCAGAGCTGCATGCACATGGGGTGTGTGTGTGCACTGGTGTGGGGGTGCACGGGGCGGTGTGTGCACGCGTGGAGCGCTAAGGTGCGTGTGTGCGGGGTGGGGGTGCACACAGCACGGCTGCACACAAGCGTGTGCACGTGGACACGCATGCACAGCTTGCATGGACAGCACAGCAGACGTACACACACACGGCAGAGCTGCGTGCACACATGGACACACACACGTGCATGGGCAGTGTGGCAGGCACATACACAGGGCAGAGCTACATGCACACTTGGACACGCATAGACACACATGCACACGCGTGCATAGACAGTATGGCAGGCATGTACACACACACGGCAGAGCTGCATGCCAACATGGACATGCATGCACACGCATGCACAGTGTGGCAGGCATTTACACACACAAGGCAGAGCTTCATGCACATGGGGGGTGTGTGCACTGGTGTGGGGTGCACGGGGCGGTGTGTGCACGTGTGGAGTGCTAAGGTGCGTGTGTGCGGGGTGGGGGTGCACACAGCACGGCTGCACACAAGCGTGTGCACGTGGACACGCATGCACAGTGTGCATGGACAGCACAGCAGACGTACAGACATACAGAGCAGAGCTGCACGCACACATGGACACGCGTGCACACACGTGCATGGACAGTGTGGCAGGCACGTACACAGAGAGCAGAGCTGCACGCACACACGGACACGCACACGCAGTGTGCATGGACAGCACAGCAGACGTACAGACATACAGAGCAGAGCTGCACGCACACATGGACACGCGTGCACACACGTGCATGGACAGTGTGGCAGGCACGTACACAGAGAGCAGAGCTGCACGCACACACGGACACGCACACGCGTGCATGGGCAGTGTGACAGGCACATACATGGGGCAGAGCTACATGCACACACGGACACACATGCACATGTGTACACACATGTACACACATGCACACGTGTGCATGGACAGTGTGGCAGGCACTTACACACGGCAGAGCTGCATGCACATGGGGTGTGTGTGCACTGGTGTGGGGTGCACGGGGCGGTGTGTGCACGTGTGGAGTGCTAAGGTGTGTGTGTGCGGGGTGGGGGGTGCACACAGCACGGCTGCGCACAAGCGTGTGCACGTGGACACGCATGCACAGTGTGCATGGACAGCACAGCAGACGTACAGACATACAGAGCAGAGCTGCACGCACACATGGACACGCGTGCACACACGTGCATGGACAGTGTGGCAGGCACGTACACAGAGAGCAGAGCTGCACGCACACACGGACACGCACACGCGTGCATGGGCAGTGTGACAGGCACATACATGGGGCAGAGCTACATGCACACACGGACACACATGCACATGTGTGCATGGACAGTGTGGAAAGCACATACACAGAGGGCAGAGCTACATGCACACACGGACACGTGCACACATGCTGCGGGGTGGGGGGTGCACACAGCACGGCTGCGCACAAGCGTGTGCACGTGGACACGCATGCACAGTGTGCATGGACAGCACAGCAGACGTACAGACATACAGAGCAGAGCTGCACGCACACATGGACACGCGTGCACACACGTGCATGGACAGTGTGGCAGGCACGTACACAGAGAGCAGAGCTGCACGCACACACGGACACGCACACGCGTGCATGGGCAGTGTGACAGGCACATACATGGGGCAGAGCTACATGCACACACGGACACACATGCACATGTGTGCATGGACAGTGTGGAAAGCACATACACAGAGGGCAGAGCTACATGCACACACGGACACGTGCACACATGCGCATGGACAGTGTGGAAAGCACATACACAGAGGGCAGAGCTGCATGCACACGTGGACACTCACACACACGTGTGTGCATGCACAGTACGGCAGGCACACACACAGAGCATAGCTAAGTGTGCACACATGTACACACATGCCATGGACACCGGCATGCACAGTGATGTGCACACACAGCACTGCCAACTGCACACGCTTGCAGACACGTGTGGCAGGTGCACATGAACACGCGCACGGCACCGCTGAGGGCACATACGTGCACACAGCATGGTACGTGTGTACGCAGCAGAGCCAAATGCATGTGCATCCAGCACCGCACACACATGTGGAGTGTGCACATGGACACGTGTGCATGGGCAGTACAGCAGGCACACACACACACATGGGGGGTGTGTGCACTGGTGTGGGGTGCACGGGGCGGTGTGTGCACGTGTGGAGTGCTAAGGTGCGTGTGTGCGGGGTGGGGGGGGCACACAGCACGGCTGCGCACACGCGTGTGCACCTGGACACGCATGCACAGTGTGCATGGACAGCACAGCAGACGTACACACACAGGGCAGAGCTGTGTGCACACATGGACGTGTGTGCACACACGTGCATGGACAGTGTGGCAGGCACGTACACAGAGAGCAGAGCTGCACGCACACACGGACACGCACACGCGTGCATGGGCAGTGTGACAGGCACATACATGGGGCAGAGCTACATGCACACACGGACACACATGCACATGTGTGCATGGACAGTGTGGAAAGCACATACACAGAGGGCAGAGCTGCATGCGTGTGGAGTGCTAAGGTGCGTGTGTGCGGGGTGGGGGGGGCACACAGCACGGCTGCGCACACGCGTGTGCACCTGGACACGCATGCACAGTGTGCATGGACAGCACAGCAGACGTACACACACAGGGCAGAGCTGTGTGCACACATGGACGTGTGTGCACACACGTGCATGGACAGTGTGGCAGGCACGTACACAGAGAGCAGAGCTGCACGCACACACGGACACGCACACGCGTGCATGGGCAGTGTGACAGGCACATACATGGGGCAGAGCTACATGCACGCATGGACACACATGCACACGTGTGCATGGACAGTGTGGCAGGCACATACACAGAGGGCAGAGCTGCACGCACACGTGGACACTCACACACACGTGTGTGCATGCACAGTACGGCAGGCACACACACAGAGCATAGCTAAGTGTGCACACATGTACACACATGCCATGGACACCGGCATGCACAGTGATGTGCACACACAGCACTGCCAACTGCACACGCTTGCAGACACGTGTGGCAGGTGCACATGAACACGCGCACGGCACCGCTGAGGGCACACACGTGCACACAGCATGGTACGTGTGTACGCAGCAGAGCCAAATGCATGTGCATTCAGCACCGCACACACATGTGGAGTGTGCACATGGACACGTGTGCATGGGCAGTACAGCAGGCACACACACACACAGGGCACAGCCGTGCTGCACACACACAGCACAGACGTGCACGCACAGACACGCGTGCACACTCACACAACCCAGCCGAGTGCACACACGTGTGCGTGCAGGCGCAGAGGGTGGTGGGCAGCGGTGACAGCGCAGCGCTGGCGTGTGTGGCATCGCAGCACACCCCCTGGTGTTTTGCACACACACACACACGTGCGTGTGCGGGGTGGGGGCACGGGTGACCCCCCCCCCAGCCCGTTCC